TTTAATTGAATAATTAGGGAGATCAACTATGAAATTGTATTGGATTGTGCAGTGCTCCTTCTCACTGGGCTTATCTTTGTCCTGCGGCGGCTGCAGGTCTAAGCATAGACTCACGTGAAGTAGAGTCATTGTGCTTTGGTAGAAAGGTATAGACTTCTACTGGTGATCCCACAGCGATTTGTCAGTGGAAGGTCATGTTGAGCATTTGTATGTCTGAAAAAGGTCCTTGGGTGGGGGACGGATGGGAGAGGAGCTATCCAAGCGAGTAATTTTTATTGTACTTTATGTCTATTAACTTAGTCTCTATGAATGTTAGGGGTCTGAACTCACTTCAGAAACGCAGATATTTACATGGATTATTGGAAGAAAATAATACTGATATAGAGCGATCACATGGCCACAGGGGTCCTAATTCAGTGTGGGGAGACTGTCTGGGCTCCAGGCAGTCTCCCCACAACGGGAGAACCGCTGATCGCCGCCGGGGTAAGTAACTCAGACCGTTAGTACGGTTCAGGACCGTCATTGGTTGGCAATGGGAAAATGCCGATGACGGTCCTGAACCATCCTTGGTCCTAAAGGGGTTAAATACATCTAATGCAATGCAAACATTTTTGCATAGAAACCAGCTATATGATTGTTGGAGAGTGAATAATCAAGTGAGTCGATATTATACTTATTTCTCCCAAGTACATTAAACACACTCTCGAATTGATTTTTTTTTGTTAAAATCGAATACATTGGACAAATACTTTTGACAAATACTAAAATAGGTTCAATAATGTGGTCTGACCATACCCCAATTTTGTCTCTCTTAAGAACAATTTCGAATACAAAGTTAGAAATAATTGGAGACTTAACGAAAGTTTGCTATGTAAGACTGAAAATATATTGTCTCTCTCATCCCCCATGCAAGATTTTTTGGATCAGAATGACAAGGGGGAGGTATTAACATGACCTTGTGGTGTACCTTAAAATCTTATGTTAGAGGTATACTCATAAAAATAGGAACTCAAACAAAAAATGTTCGGAGAAACACTTAGTAACTTGTACATTAATTTAGCTAAATTAGATAGACTTCATAAGGTCACCTTATATCCCTCCACCTTGTCAGAAATTAAAAAGGTGAGGAATGACATAGTAAAGCAGACACTTATAAAAATTAATTCTAAAACAAAGATGGTATTATGCCGCTAACCGATCCAGCAATATTTTAACAAATAAGCTGAATAATAAGAGAAGCGCTGACATAGTAAAAAAAAACCTAGTGGTTAAGGGAAAAGAGCTTTTAACTCCCAAACAGATTAGCCAAGCATTTGGGGACTGTGAGATGCACTGCTGCTGGGGATCTGGGCATCCCTGTAGGGCCGGTAGAAAGACCTCGGTCCCATCTCCACTTGCCATTTGGGGGTCCTCCCAGGGCCAGTCTATGAGGTCCACTACCTCAGGTACCTCTGGCTGCTGGGGTAGAGGGAGGCCAGTTGCCTCCCCTCCGCAGGACGCTGGTTGCTGTAAGGTGGAGGGACCGACCATCACCTCCTCCTGGAACTCAGGCTGCCGCTGGGGAGAGAGACCAGTTGTCTCCTCTCCCTTCAAAGTATACTGCCGCTGGGGAGCAGGACCAACTGTCCCTACTCCTGGTAGTATACTTGGTTGCTGTGCTAAGCTGAAAAGATGTTGGAAGCTCTGCTCCAGCATCCACTCCATTGTGACTAGATGAATCAGGCCTGGCCCCAGGTTGTCCGCTTGGGGAAGATCATGCAGAGTTTCCCTGATGTTGTGGATGTCCCAGAGCCGACCTTCTGTGGGGCATCTAAAGTCATTGCCCTCCTCAAAGGCCTCCCACAGTAAGCCTGGGCCATTATAATCCTCTCCTTCCGGCAGATAGTGGTTAGTCATCCAGGGGTCGCGCTGGGTGGCGTACCACTTTAGTGCCCGGTAAGCTCCATCCAGCCACAACTCCTTCCAAATCAGATCCCACAGTTCCATCACCCACTCATCCAGGGGTTGCTCTCCTAGGAAAGGTGGCCGCAGGGCCACGAGTACCTGGAACCGCTGTTCGGCACTGGGAAGGCTCTCCCTCTGCCGCCGCTGTACCTCCTCTAAGGCATCATACCACAACTCCTTTTGAGTGGCAACTCTCCAGTCCAGTATGCCCTCCTCTGATACAGGCCCATCCTGTTGGGCCAAGTGTTGCTGCAACCTCCAGAGAAACTCCTCCTCACATGGGGACGCCGCACGGTCGCTAGGTCACTCCATTCTCCCAAGTTCCTCTGTAGATAGGGGCGCTGCACGAGTGCTAGTGTTGCCTTCAATTATAAATCCATAACTCCACACGTTACCGGTGTTTCTGAGCTGCTGGTCCTTGCACTAGGACTCCATCCCGCCGCTGCCACCACCAATCGATGCTCCTAGTGCTTGCCGAGGACTCCGAGCACTCCAACCAACACCATCAGCATTGAGGACCCCACTTCCAGCGATGCAGCTGCGCCGGGGTCTTGCCGTCTCTCACACACCCTGGATCCACGACCAGAATCCAGCTCCCAGTGGGTGAACCTCTCCTAAATCCAGAGAGCATAGCAGGAACAAATCAAGCTCTTTCAAGAGCTTACTCTGGGGAATAAGTGATTATAGCAATCCCCAGAGTGTGGGTATCCCTTCCCCCAAGCATGAGCCAAGGCTTAAAGAAAGGTGCAAGTAGGTCTGATTTATTGAGGGCTACCTGCCCGGTATTTATGCAAGTGTTTTATCACAATCCCTCCTCTCTATCCTGGAGATAATTGGGAAGTAATCAAATTATCTCCCAGGACAGAGGCAAGACTCCATTAACCACATGGTTACAAAAAGACATAAAATTACACAATGTTACAATTACTACATATACATCCAACATATCCCCAGATAGCTTAGATCTGAGCGCACATTATTACTGATCACATACATACAGTTCAATCGCCACGGAGCCAAAGTCTTTTCCATAGTTTTTTGTTACACGAATAGGCTCCATGGCATAGCTATCTGGGGTAGCACTACTCACATACTGAAAGTCCCGAACGCCCCGGCAGAAATACACAAATAAACCTTTCTGCGGGGTAAAATACAGCTATCAGCACAGAGGCCATAGTCGAAAGGCAGGAGGCTAGCCAGTAGTCTCCTCCAGGCATAAGTGGCGAAGGGCACTACGTCACAGGGACTATTATAGATCCTTATATAATTTGAAAGATCATAGTCATTCTATAGTCATCTCTAACTTTTTAAACAATCTTAAGATTCCTAAAATTTCTTCTGAAAAATTTGATTTTCTAAATAAACCCATATCAATATCAGAAATTAAAAATTGTATTAACTCTTTAAAATCGAATAAGTCACCTGGGCCAGATGGGTACTCTTTTTTCAGAAATTTAAAAAAACTGCAATCAAGATTATTATTAAGAACATATAACCAATTTAACTCTAGTAACACCATTCCATCTGAAATGTTACAATCAACAATTATCCCAATACCAAAAGATAATAAAGAGATTACCTCTATTACAAATTATCGGCCAATATCCCTCATTAACTTAGACATTAAAATCTATTCTAAAATCCTAGCTAAGAGACTGAAAGAAGTAATTCCAGACTTAATTCATTTAGATCAATGTTGGTTCATCAAGGGAAGTAGCATTAATGATAACACCAGAAAGGCAATAAATATAATTTATCATATAAATCAACAAGATGAAGGTTCGGTTATGATGACCCTCGATGCCGAAAAGGCCTTTGAGTGGGTGAACTGGCAGTTTTTAGAGGCAGTACTGGGAGCCTTCAGTATCGAGAGCACATTTAGGAAGAGTATTATGCTTTTGTACACTAGACCTACAGCTAGGATTGCGGGATATATGCTTTTATCAGATTGGTTTAAAATTAGAAATGGCACAAGGCAGGGTTGTCCCCTAGCCCCATTGCTGTATATTATTACGATGGAACCTTTGGCAAACGTGATTAGACAAGATAAAGAAATTAAGGGTATAAAAATTGGAACATTGGAATGCAAATTTTATATGCGGATGGCGTCTTTTTAACTCTTGCTAATCTGAAGTTTTCTATCCCTAAAGTAATTCAATTGATTGAGGAATATGACAGTTTTTCTAATTTTAAATTAAATTTTAATAAAACCCAGATAGTATTTAACAAAGTATCTATGCATGATTTTGAGCATATTAAATCAAATTTACATTTGATTGACGTTCTAAATATATAGATTATCTGGGGATTAAATTATATATGGATCTGGATGAAATTATAAAAGAAAATTATAATTTCAAACTATATGATCTTAGAAATACCTTATCAACTTGGAAAGGGATGGCATTATCTTAGATGGGTAGGGTGGAAGTAGTAAGATCATACCTGCTCTGTATTTGTTTAAAAACGTACCACTTAGAATGAATAATACTGTACTTAAAGAAATTAAATTAATAATTAACAAATTTATTTAGCAGGACAAGAAATCCAGAATAGCCTCAAATATCTTATATAGAGATTCAAAAAAAGAGGCCTATCCTTTTCCCAACATATTTTCTTTTTCCTGGCTAATCATGGCAGCATATACACATGGGTTAGCTCCTCCCCTTACAGCCAATAGGACAGGATTAAGCAAATTCTTATATAAAAGGAGGATCCAGAGAAGAGACCCTCAGTCTTTTTCCTGTCCTTACAGCCTTTAGGAAGGGAGCTCTTTAGCTCCCTCTATATTTTTTTTTCTCTTGTCTCTATCTCTTTAAGTATTTTACTTCTTTCTCTATATACTTTACAGTGTACTATTGTGTACATACAGGTGTAAAGTGATTCCCACTATCTCCTTCCTATTTCTTCTTCCTTTACCCGGGTTTTATTGTTACCTGTATAATCCTGGGCTGCCTGAGAGCTTTGGGAGTCATCCTGTTTGCAGCTGGGATCCCTGGCTTTCGTCCTCAGTTCTCCCTGGTTGGGAGCTTGGAGGGGACGCCCGCACATGCGCAATGCGCTCGGTTCGCTTGGCGCCAGAATGCAGTCTGGGTAAAGGTTGCGAGGTCGCGGCGGCCATCTTTACTGTGGGCAAAACCGAAAATTACAGGTAATTGACAGAAGACGCCAGAAACAGGTTAGTAAATGAGCAGAAACTATTTAAAAGTACCTGGAACTCGAAGGAGGTTGTTGTGGAGTCAGTTATTAGACAACTTGCATTGGATTATCTAGAAGAGAATTTAAGACTCTGGGATCTTTCTATTCTTTGCCACAGGTTTGTGTATTTCTGATAAAATTTTATCCCTTTATTGTGACAGTTTACTTGTATATTCTAAGAGAATTACTTTGAATTATTTTTAAATTCTTTATTGTAGTTAGCCCATTATGAGCTCTGCTAGTAGGAATCCTTTACCCTGTTCAGGAGAATCCAGGTGAGTAGGATTCCATATATATTTCATTTATATTGTGTGTGTGTATATATATATTTATAGGTTAAAGGGGTATTAACTCTCCATTTACTAACAGTTCCTTATATTACTTTTAGTAATGGAGAACAGTCTATCTCATCTCCCCCACGAAAGAGGAGACAGAAGTCAGACCCCTGTGCAGGATGTGATGGGAAGGCGTTGGAAGGCAAAAAACTGTGCTTAGACTGTTTGCAGAAAGTGACCACTCCAGCAGCCGTAACACCCACTCAGTCACCAGATATCCTGACCTGGATCAGACAGGAAGTGGCTCAGGGCATTTCAGAAGCCATGGAGGCAAGTAAGCGGTCTGTAAAAAGACCAAGACAGAGACTGATATCCTCAGATTCATCTGGCTCAGAATACCAGGATTCAGTTGAAGAATTTCAGGTTCTTGATCAGGTTTATTCTAGTGAGAACGAAGAAGAGGTCTTGTCAGAATATCTAGACGCCAAGACAGTGGATAAGCTCATCTTAAAGGTAAGAAGCACCCTTGAACTACCAGAGGATCTGCCTAAACCTGAAGTTTCGGATAAACATTTTGCGGATCTTAAGAAGCAGAAGCCTTCCTTCCCTCTTCATAAAGCCATTAAGGAGGTGGTGACTGCAGAATGGGAAAAACCTGATAAAAAGGTTCCGTTTCAGGGCAGACTATCCAAGCTTTACCCTTTGGAGGAGAAAACTTCAAAGAAATGGACAACACCTCCAAAAGTGGATGCGACCATCTCTAGAGTTGCTAGGAGAACTAGTCTACCATTGGATAGTTCAGCCTCCCTGCGGGAGCCAATGGATAAGAAATTGGATTCCGATCTTTCCAAGATATATTCAGCGGGAGGTACTGGATGCCACCCAGCTGTTTGTCTTACGGCGGTGTCCAGAGCAATGAAGAGTTGGATAAGAGACCTTGATTCAGATTTAGAAAGGGGAATCAAGAGGACAGTCCTCAGGGATTCTATCTATGACCTTCGGATAGCCACAGAATTTGTCACTCAAGCTGCCCTGGATATCACCAGGATCTTCTCCCGCACCATGGCTCTCTCGGTAGCAGCTAGGAGAGCTTTATGGTTGCGTTATTGGGGTGCGGATTCCTTTTCCAAGTCCAATCTATGTTCCATACCTTTTGAAGGAGAGCTTTTATTCGGTAAGACCCTAGAAGAATCCATTAAAAAAGCAGCTGAAGGGCGTAAGGTCTTTTTACCCCAAGAGAAAAGAACCAGGAAACCTGGCTCCTCTTGGTCAGATAAGCGACCTCAGAGGGATCACTTTTTTCGGGATACCCGTAGCTACCGACCAGGTAGAGAGTTTAACAGGAGTAGTAATTGGCGTGGGGGCCAATCATATGCTTCCCGTTCCTCCCGAGGTAGAAACCCTTCCTTTCGGGGAGGCAAGAACTTCTGACTATCCGTCAGAGGTCGGTGCTCGACTCTCCCTCTTCTGGAGGGTTTGGGCACGAGACATACAAGATGCCTGGGTCAGAGCTATAATTCAAAGAGGTTACAGATTGGAATTCCTCAGGAGACCCAGAGGCAACTTCTTCATTCCCACAGGTATGTCCAAAGACGAGGGCAGAAGCAGGGCTCTGGGAGATTATGTTCAGAACCTCAGGTCCCAAAAGGTCATCATTCCAGTGCCAAAAGAGGAACGATTCCATGGTCATTATTCACCTCTGTTCTTGGTCCAGAAAGACAAGGACAAGTGAAGACCTATCCTGGACCTACGAAGGATCAACAGGAGTCTTCTAATCAGATCCTTCAGGATGGAGTCCATAAGATCCATCTCCCCATCTATCCGGAGGGCAGATTGGCTCATATCCATCGACCTACGGGACGCCTGTTATCACATCCTGATAGCCAAGGAACATCATCGTTTTCTACGATTTGCTATAGGAGGGGACCACTTCCAATTCCGAACACTTCCATTTGGCCTGAGTACAGCACCCAGGACCTTTTCAAAGGTGTTGGTCGTGCTTATAGAGAGATTGAGGATTCAGGGGATCTCTCTGTTCCATTACCTGGACGACCTTTTGTTGGTAGCACCAAACGTCCAGATGGCGATTCTACACAGAGAATTTGTGCTATCAGAACTTCATCGATTCGGCTGGGTGGTGAACCTACAAAAGAGCAGCCTCATTCCATCACAGAAGATTACGTTCCTGGGGGCAAACTTCAACACACTCCGGAACTCTATTTCCCTTTCACAAGAAAGAATTCGGAGGATTCGGATCTTTGTCTACAAGATTCTGCACCTTCAGGTAATAACAGCAAGAACATACTCGCAACTTCTGGGCAATCTGACCTCTTCTATAGGACTAGTCAGGTGGGCCCAGTGGCATCTCAGAGTTCCTCAGAGGTCGTTCCTGAACCAGTTCAACCGGCAGGTTATGGATTGGAATCAACCCTTGAAGATCTCTCCTGTTGTGAAAATGGACCTAGTCTGGTGGCTCAGAAGGGTAAATTTGGAAAGGGGTTTTCCTTTGATAGAACCCAATTGGGTCCTATTAATGACAGATTCCAGCGCACATGGTTGGGGTGCCCACTGTCAGGACCAAATGACTCAGGGTCGATGGAACAGACAGGAGTCGGTTCTTCCGGGGAATGTTTTGGAATTACGGGCCATCCACAGAGCTCTCATACACTTCAGAGGGATCCTGAAGAACAAGTGGATACGAGTCCAGTCCGACAACCAGGCAGCTGTGGCCTATGTATCTCATCAAGGCGGTACTCGCAGCCAACTGTTGATGAAGGAACTACGGCCTATCATGAGTTGGTGCCAGAAAAATATTCAAGGTATTTCTGCAGTACACCTTCCGGGGATTCAGAATACCATGGCGGATTACCTAAGCCGCGTGACCATGGACAAGAACGAGTGGCATCTAAGCCCCGAAGTTTTTCAGGAACTGTCTTTGATCTGGGGAACCCCAGAGATAGACCTCATGGCAACGGCCCAGAATACCCAGGTCGAAGCATTCTTCTCGAGACTGTTCGATCACAGAGCCAAGGGGCAGGATGCTCTATCCCTACCTTGGAGGTTCACTCTGGCCTACGTGTTCCCTCCTATACCTCTCATATACCCGACTCTGAAGAAGATTCAGAAGGAGAAGGTAGAGGTCATAGCCATCCTCCTATTCTGGCCCCGGCGGCCCTGGTTCCCTATGGCGAAACGGATGAGTCGGAAACCTCCGAGGGAACTTCCGTTCCAGACAGATTTACTATCCCAGGGACCATTGCTACACCCAAACCCCCTAACCCTCAAGTTGTGGGCTTGGAGATTGAGCGGGAAGCTCTGATGAATGCTGGTATGCCTGACACAGTCATTAAAACCCTCCTGCGGTCTCGTAAGATAGCCACTTCATCCACATATTATAGGATTTGGCATACCTTTATTTGCTGGGCACAAGAACATCAGGTGGTGATTAAACCTTTGGCATTATCTTCGGTGCTCTGTTTCCTTCAAGCTGGCCTAGATAAAGGCCTTAGCTATAATACTCTAAAGCTCCAGGTATCAGCTCTATCCGCTTTATCAGGTACCCGATGGGCACTGGAACCATTGGTCATCCGTTTCTTTAAAGCAGCAATTAAGATCCGGCCCCTTCTAAAGGTATTTCTGCCGGCATGGGACCTACCTCTGGTCTTGAAGGCCATGACTAGTGCTCCCTTTGAACCACTTGACCAAGCTCCTTTGATGGTACTCACTCAAAAGGTACTCTTATTGGTAGCTGTTACTTCCGCACGAAGGATATGTGAAATCCAGGCATTGTCCTGCGAATCACCTTACACAAGGATTCTTCAGGACAGCTTAGTTCTCAGACCAGTCCCGGAATTTTTACCTAAAGTGATATCTAAGTTCCACTTGAACCAGGAAATTGTTCTACCATCCTTCTATCCTAATCCCTCTTCTCCTGAAGAAGAAGTTTGGCATACTCTGGACGTGGTTCGAGCATTATCTATCTACCGAGAGAGGACCAGCCCTTTCCGTAGATCTCCCAGATTATTTGTATTACCTTTTGGCCACAGTCGGGGTGAAGCTGCCTCTACCTCTACATTGAGACAGTGGGTGGTATCGGCCATCTCATGTTCTTACAAATACTTATCACTACCGGTTCCTACTGGCGTCAGAGCTCATTCTACTCGGGCTATCGCTGCATCTTGGGCTTCTGTGGCAAATGCTTCTCCTGATGAGATTTGTAAGGCTGGCACTTGGTCTTTGGTGAACACTTTCATCCGTCATTATAAGCTGGATGTTAGAGCCTCAGTGGACTCTCACTTTGGACATCAAGTCCTTAATTCAGTCCGCTCCTCTCGACACTCGTAGTTTGTATATTTATATTTATCGGCATTAATAAAATATTCTTTTTGCATTCATGATGTCTCTTGTTTCCCTCCCTATGAGCTTGGGTAATCCCATGTGTATATGCTGCCATGATTAGCCAGGAAAATGGAAAATTTATTCATACTTACCGTAATTTTCTTTTCCTGGCTATTATTCATGGCAGCATATACAACCCACCCTTATGGGTCTATTTTTTCTGTAAGTGCTTGTTACTGACTGAGGGTCTCTTCTCTGGATCCTCCTTTTATATAAGAATTTGCTTAATCCTGTCCTATTGGCTGTAAGGGGAGGAGCTAACCCATGTGTATATGCTGCCATGAATAATAGCCAGGAAAAGAAAATTACGGTAAGTATGAATAAATTTTCCACTATATATATATATATATATTTGTGAGTCATCTGAAGATTAGATTAAAAAATCGAGGAGCAGCAGTTTTAGAATATAGGATTAGCTGCATCTAGAATAGGGAAATAATAGACAGTGAGCTTTGCAGCTGTTGTCTGATCTTCTCTTATTTTGAATCAGGAGTATTTGCATACATTCACGGATTAGGCACAGAGATGGCTGGGACATTAAATGACTGTGAAATTATACAATAACAGTGCCAATATGGTATCTATCACTGTCTGATTGTTTCCAGTGATTAGAGAACAATTTACCCCTCAAGGGAGGTCAGTTATCCAATGACGTGAATGCAATAAACCCAACTCCTGAATTTCTACATTTGAAGATCATTCGCCATTTTAGGAGTCAAATCATGAGCAGCATGTGTCTAGTGTCTTTACAAAACATATAAAAGTGAAATTGCAGCATTACTTATTTTATTAAACATGAGTAGATGCTTGTCTACACTGAACATCTAACCATTCTTGGAACCTTCCAATTATCTCATTTTAGTTTCTATACTAAGGGAATATTTGTTACTCAGAGTCGTGTTCCTTAAAATGCAAGGAAGGCCAATTTATGTTTTGCTATCAGGGACGAAAAAAAAACCATGACTGAACGTGTGAGTTAGGAAAACCATATGACTGAGCATGTACACTAGTACGAAGGAAGCCCAAAAAGTAGATCCACAGGTGTAGTAGAACAACTCCCATGATGCTTGGCATGCCCTTAGAATGACTAAGCTTAATGGAAGCTGTAGTTTTAA